GTTTAAAGTGAACGACTTATGATAAGTCAATGGTATTTGGTATGCAGTTGTATTACCATTGGCACATCTCATTTCCATGGAGATTGTTTAACCATGTACCTTCAGTCATGGTTCATTGACTTTACATATTTGCATAACTTACATGTTAAAGTATTGCTATTTTAATTTCAACATTTGCATTATCAAAATTACAAAAAAGGTGAGACATATATCTGTGTTAACAGTTTATTATTAATGTGATTAAAGCGACAGGGTGAGTATCACAGCAATAAGAACTTGCATTCTAGTATCTGATCCATATAGCTGTATGAAGTCACGATAATAAATCTCACATTTTTGTCCATTCTTCAAAAATCTCAATATAAAAATGCACGCAATAATTTCTGAATTTACAGTATCTGTTCTTCAATACAGTTAAAAAGAATATACTGGTTTTTTTTATGAATTTATCAGATATTTGGTTTTTTCTTCAGTACAAAGTTGAATTTGATTAGGGAATATTGTTTTCCATTTCCTAAGTTTTTTTTCCAGTTAAAAATTTAGATGTCGTGCATAGAAATATGGAAAGTGATTGAAAATAAAGGTATAGAATTTCTTCAAATTTAAGTATTTGTTTAGAACTACTGGTAAATTTCATTGGTTTACTGGGTATATTTTTACACAATTTTTATAATTGGGGTATACATGTATGTAGGAATTCTCACATGTCATTTTTACACCTAAATGAGCCATTTCATCAACTGTGACTTATTTCCTAGTTGTATTTGTAAAGACAGATACTGGATTATTTACCAAAAAAAACATTTAGTTTCAGTATCATTTTTCATTTTCCCAGGATTGTTGATATACGTTATTACTTATTTAAACACTAAGATCTTTATTTTCAACCACGCTTATTTCTTTTTCATACCAGCTGCGTTGTAGGTCTTAACTTCCCCCAAAGTTCTCTTACCTGATACCTTGACATACTGATTTATATATAATTACATCTGCCTCAGCGAGTCGTGGGCTAAATGGACCACTGACCCGTGTCATAGCTGGTCACTCTATACAGACTACTCGGACCAGTTATCAAAAGTTAGTTATCTGATAATGGCCAATTAAATTGTGGTTTTATTCCCTTCAATTTGTTGCAGATTTTCATTGATGGGTACAATGTATAAACAGAATGAGACTAAATCTCCATTGAACCATCTCAACTATCAGAGTAAATATTATAGGGTTCATGTTTTTATAGCGGAGAATGAACACAAGTTTTAGTCGTATGGAGTGTTACTTGTCTAATAATAAATGATATTTATGTGGTATTGTATAGTAAATTGTACCGAAAGGAAATCGAGAACCTGTAATACAGTTAACTAGAAGTAAAAGAAAGGTGGAGCCGAACTCACTGCCCTCAACTCTTCATTTATATCATTGAATAATTGAGGAAAATTTGATAGTTTGGCATTAGGTGCATTTGTTTGACTAGAGACAGGAGACCTATAAAGTATTACAGAACCCATATTAGGCTCCATTAAATGATGGCAGGTGAACTCAATCATTTCTTATTTTGTTATAATGTTAGTTTTGAATTATTTATATCTTTGGACTCAAAATTATATAACTTTTGGACTTACAATTAGTCTTATTTTGTCCGAAAGCTTAAGAATATTTTTAAAGGGGGTCAGTAAATTTTTGAATATTTTGAAATGGACGTTATATAAAAGTAATAAATCAGTCATGCAAGTAGCATCATCAGTTAATGGTTAAAGATACATGTAAACCCTCATGATTAGTCAAAAAGTGGTAATTATTATGAAATAAAATCTATTAAAACAACATTCAAATAATTTTGTGGAATTGACTGACTGAAAAAGATGTAGAGGCATTGATTGACAATTATTTATACAGTACAGTTAAAGCTTTGTATAAAGGTCTCACTTGGGACTAGAGATAACTGCCCTTATATATGAGGTGACTTTTGAATTAAGGTTCAAAATGCATATATATTACTACATCCGTAAGAAAAAAAAAGTGACTTTTATGCAGGTTTGACTGTATTTTTTTTTCTTATACCACATGTTAAGGTGGGTAGGTAAACAGAATTCGTACATATATTGGCATCTGTGTACATTCATGGATATATTGGCATCTGATTTTGACAGTTTTGTTTTTTTTATGCAATAATATGAATCACAAATAAACAACATGATATACAGCCCCCATGTATTAATAATCGATGCTAGTTTCAATAGGGATTCCTGAGGTACATTTAAAAAATTATGTCACCATTTTAGTTATGTACAATAGAGCCGAGTCGGAAAACAGAAAATAGAGATGTTATCTATGTGTACAGATGTAACAGACAGTTGTTCTCAGATCAAGGACGATTTGGATCGGCAAATCTTTAGGACTATTGTATCTGTTGTTTAGACTCAGACTGTATAGATTAGAATCATATTTACAAATCATCTGTTTACCTTTAGTATTAAATATAAAATGATGGACTGATCTTTTTTTTATATAAATTTAGTTTATTGTAATTTTTAGACTGTTAAGTAAGTGCATAGATATAGATTTGGAGTAAGGATTATTATTATTGCATTGAAAGTTTGACCTCTTCCAAAGTGAATATCTAACACACCAGTGTTTCTAAAGTTGTGATTTTGCCTAATGGATTGGCCTTTGAGACTATTGTATAAAGCTATAGATTATCCTTCATGGATTAGAAGCTATTTACTCATTTTCTTCAAAGCTGAAAGAAAAATCTACCCAGAAAATGTCACAGCTATTACTGATGCTTCATAGATGTACTGGCAGTCAATGAACATTGGTTACAAAATATGTTCATGGATGGCCTTTCAGGAAATATTGTAATTTTATACCTATAATAAAAGCAGACTTTAACATTTTGAACACAAGTTTGAGTTAATTGCAAAATTCAAATAGTTCAGATTAATTAAATTAATCAAACTTCCTGTTTTAAGATAATGAAAATTAAAATCTAAGTAAAAAGGGTGTGTCTGTCAGCTGTTTGACCCTGTGGTAGTCAGATGTCAGATGTCTTGGCAAGGTTAATTGTTGGTGGTCTACGGATCGTTACAAATCTTGTTACCTTGCTCCAATGTAAAATTGATCTGTGTCATTCGGCAAAAATGTCAGAATTAAACACTTTAATTTGTTTATCGGTTTGTTGATTTTTTCCTAAGTTTAATTGAATCAATATAATTAGGGCTGTAGAATTTAGATTTGATGTTGTGATTTGGTCAGTCACCTGGAAGATATATTGATGTCAAATGTTGAATATAATGTACAATACTGAATTACATTATTATCATTTTAAGATTATATGAATGAAAGTTTATTTGTCCATTACTTGAAATATGTGTTGCTATATATATGTTTTGAGCATCAAGAATAATTTCTGCCTCTTTTTTTGGTGGAGTTCAAGTTGCTCAGTCTTTAGTTTTAAATGTTGTGTTTTGTAGAGGGTCGTTTGTCTTTTGGTTGTTTTTCATTTTTCACCATGGCATTGTCAGTCTGTCTTTAACTTATGAATAAGATTATCCCTTTGGTGTCTTCCACATCTCTATTTCAACTGCTTTGAACTCATTCTGATTTATTATAGGATTATCTGCGTTAGTTTTTTGTTTTTTGTAGGTTTAGGGTATGGAATTGGAAGAATAACTAGACTGTTTGTTATAATGGACAGCAGATTCTTCCTAAATTTTATATTTAATTAGATTAAGAGCATTTATTATTATACTTTGAAACAGCTACATATCATTTTTATATATATGCTGGGTAAAAAAAACATGCATTTATTATTAACTTGTTGTTTGGTGTCTCCTGATTTTACATGCAGGATGACTTTTGTGTGTGTCATTGGGTTGCAGTCTCCTTGATGTACAATCACCACATATCCTTTTATTCAGGGCTAACATTAAAATCTAACCTGTAAAGGAAATGTTTTTGAAGATAGCCGTAGAAGTTTTAAACAGTATAAGAACTTGACTTTTAAATTGCAGGTGTTGTTAAAAAGGCTTTTAAAGTTCAATACTTTGTATCGTCATTGAGAATTGGAACTTAAAACCTGTTAAAATTACAGTAAGAATTTACTAATAACTGTCAGTCTTTGTGTAACATACTAATTATTATGGTATGGCACTCACAATAATTTGTTTAAATTATTTGAGACCTGAGAATTTTGTTTAAATATAGAAGTTATGAGTAATACCACTATAACATAGATATGCACCAATGTTGATAAAGCTTGTACTGATTTGTTTTACGATTTCTTTACCTACATCCGAATTCAAATCTTCACCATCTATTAATACTGCCTATCTTGATCTAGATTTGTAGATATGATTTGTGTTGAGATAATGAGTTTTATAGTGGGGAGATAACTCTCTATCAAGGCTGGCTAATGTAATGTATCCATGAAACACAGGAAATGAGTTCTATAATCTCAGTCGATATCAAATCTCCTAACTTGGGTATGAATAAGAGTAGATTAGGAGTAAACACCATTGGGACAGCAACTAAACAACACATGTTAAACAAAAAGGTCATCTAGAGGTCACCTTGATGGTCCTCGACAACGGTCAAGCACATAAACATGGACAATGTTTCTGCTTCATACTTGTTTACATTTTATTTTAACATTTTCTAAATAATTAATGTTCATTTTAAGCCATGTAAGCATGAAATATGTCTAATTATAAAGTAAAATGTTTGTACAAGTTTTTTAAATGGCAGAAAATGACATTTTTTCTCAGGGAAATTGAGTGGTAGAGAATTTGATGTCTTTATTCGGAGGTGTTTTGAGATGGTTTCACATTTCACAGTTCTTTTTGACAGTTTACGAATGACTTAATCGTTCAGGGAGTAGAAAACAAAGTGCGTTTGTACTCCTGACATGCCAGGGTAGAATCTGTTGACAGATGTCAGACGGGCAAGTTGAAAACTGATGTGGATGTAAACAATGGCGATCATATAGAAAATATAATGTGATAGATTGTTACTCATTTTTATATAACGTTACATTTCAATGTAAACAAAAGGAATTGTAGTAGAGGAACGAAAGAGACTTTCTCCGATGTCCTGATCTTTGGTGGTCCAGACATTCAACAATTTGGCTCTCCATCAACTTTTTCACTCCAGTTGATTTTCTTTTTGATTTGAATTTCTTATCAATGCCTGAAATGAAAAGAAAAATGAATTAATTGTAATTTATTTTGAAGATTAAGTATATTCTTCATGTCAGGTACTCTTTGGAAATAGAAATAATTTATGAAGTCTTATGCTCATAGAAAAATCAAGCAAAATATAGAAATAATTTCTTAACAGTGAATAAGCCATGCAAAAAGTTATTTATAATTACTAAGCCTGATAGGCAATCTTGAATTGAATTTTACAGGCGTATGCTTGAAACATTTCGGAAAGCCATTTTTTTTTTTTTTCAAGAAATTTCAGTGTTGACCAGATCACCATCATTCTATGTTTACATGGTTAAAATTGATATTTTGAATACTTGATACTGTGTTTGCGGTGTACATGGACATTTTATATGCAGGGATCCTGAGTTGGTTATAACAAGTATGAACTGATTACATATTTCTGCACATCCATATTTGAAAATTTTACAGTTTAAAAGTGCATCCATTCTGTGAATGTTATGTTCTGAGATTCTGGTGAACTTTGTTTTGTTATTAAGTAGCTGAGCTATTCAGCTAACTCATGTACATTAGTCCTTGTAAATTGCTCTGACGTCTGAAGACTTTTTTATGACTTGCATGGCATGTTGGACCTCAGCAAGTCATATAGAAGGCCGTCCGATGTTGGAGCAATCTCTGACTTATTTCAATGAGATAATACATAATTTATTATGTGTTTGTCAGTTTATAGGACCAGAATTTGTATTTCTCCATTTTATTAGTAGTTTTAATTAAAAGATTCTGGTCTGCATTTGAAATAAAACATTGGAAAAAGTGGTGTTGACTGTTTGTACCAATTATTTTGTCAAAGAGAAAAGGAAAGTATATAATTGAACATGGCGTGTCGAGAGTTTTATAATAGTTTCTTAATATTCAATTGATTCCTGCAGTTATCATGCAATGTTTGGCTTGGTTTGTTATAATTAAGAAGAATTACTTAATTTAATTCAATTACAAGTGTGATAATAGCTAGACTGCACAAGATGTTGTGTGGATAGACGTTTTTTTAACGAAGAAACAATTTATTCACTTAAACTATTGTTGATTGTAGGAACAGATACGTATATTATTCTGTCGGGGTTCTGATTTTATCTATTTCATATAAATGTAAGGTACAATTAACTTAAGACGTAAGCTTCATGTAATCTTTTATTATACCAGTATATAAATACGGTATTTAAAATGTGGAAACTCCGTAACAAACACTGAATTATCCGTTTGTGTTTTCATTATTGTTCAGAGGCAATGTTCAGTTCAATTTGACATGATGCAAGGCCTTCAGCACAACTGAGTTTTTGTTCAGAAAATCTAATTAAAACAGGTAGATTTACATTAAATAGTTTTGGTTCTGAAGCAAGTTAAACTTTCTTTTCTACCAGACAGTTTCAGTATAGAAATAAACCACATAAATATTGAATCGGATGATTAGGTTTTCTATAAATGTATAAATGTTTTATTTACATATATCTGTCAGGGATATTTACATTTTTACTAAACATTGCAAAATATCTGTCAGGAGTATCTACATTTTTACTAAACATTGCAAAGTATCTGTCGGGATATCTACATTTTTTACTAAACATTGCAAAGTATCCTCATGATTCCTTGGATTTAACACAAGAACCATATATATTTGATTGGATATTGTAAAGATTTTATGTAATTTTTTTTAAACCTTGCAGACTGCAAACTTGGCATTTTCTCTAAAGATGGTTTTCCTTTATTGACGGTTTGCCACTGGCATTTGATGATTGTTGAGCTGTTACCACCACATTAAATGTGTGCTTGTCTAGTGCCAGGAAGAAGTCTGTTACCACCACATTAAATGTGTGCTTGTCTAGTGCCAGGAAGAAGTCTGTTACCACCACATTAAATGTGTGCTTGTCTAGAGCTAGGAAGAAGTCTGTTACCACCACATTAAATGTGTGCTTGTCTAGTGCTAGGAAGAAGTCTGTTACCACCACATTAAATGTGTGCTTGTCTAGAGCTAGGAAGAAGTCTGTTACCACCACATTAAATGTGTGCTTGTCTAGAGCTAGGAAGAAGTCTGTTACCACCACATTAGATGTGTGCTTGTCTAGTACCAGGAAGAAGTCTGTTACCACCACATTAAATGTGTGCTTGTCTAGAGCTAGGAAGAAGTCTGTTACCACCACATTAAATGTGTGCTTGTCTAGAGCTAGGAAGAAGTCTGTTACCACCACATTAAATGTGTGCTTGTCTAGTGCCAGGAAGAAGTCTGTTACCACCACATTAAATGTGTGCTTGTCTAGAGCCAGGAAGAAGTCTGTTACCACCACATTAAATGTGTGCTTGTCTAGAGCCAGGAAGAAGTCTGTTACCACCACATTAAATGTGTGCTTGTCTAGTGCCAGGAAGAAGTCTGTTACCACCACATTAAATGTGTGCTTGTCTAGTGCCAGGAAGAAGTCTGTTACCACCACATTAAATGTGTGCTTGTCTAGTGCCAGGAAGAAGTCTGTTACCACCACATTAAATGTGTGCTTGTCTAGAGCTAGGAAGAAGTCTGTTACCACCACATTAAATGTGTGCTTGTCTAGAGCTAGGAAGAAGTCTGTTACCACCACATTAAATGTGTGCTTGTCTAGTGCCAGGAAGAAGTCTGTTACCACCACATTAAATGTGTGCTTGTCTAGAGCTAGGAAGAAGTCTGTTACCACCACATTAAATGTGTGCTTGTCTAGAGCTAGGAAGAAGTCTGTTACCACCACATTAAATGTGTGCTTGTCTAGTGCCAGGAAGAAGTCTGTTACCACCACATTAAATGTGTGCTTGTCTAGTGCCAGGAAGAAGTCTGTTACCACCACATTAAATGTGTGCTTGTCTAGTGCTAGGAAGAAGTCTGTTACCACCACAATAAATGTGTGCTTGTCTAGTGCTAGGAAGAAGTCTGTTACCACCACATTAAATGTGTGCTTGTCTAGTGCTAGGAAGAAGTCTGTTACCACCACATTAAATGTGTGCTTGTCTAGTGCCAGGAAGAAGTCTGTTACCACCACATTAAATGTGTGCTTGTCTAGTGCCAGGAAGAAGTCTGTTACCACCACATTAAATGTGTGCTTGTCTAGTGCTAGGAAGAAGTCTGTTACCACCACATTAAATGTGTGCTTGTCTAGTGCTAGTAAGAAGTCTGTTACCACCACATTAAATGTGTGCTTGTCCAGTGCTAGGAAGAAGTCTGTTACCACCACATTAAATGTGTGCTTGTCTAGAGCTAGTAAGAAGTCTGTTACCACCACATTAAATGTGTGCTTGTCCAGTGCTAGGAAGAAGTCTGTTACCACCACATTAAATGTGTGCTTGTCCAGTGCTAGGAAGAAGTCTGTTACCACCACATTAAATGTGTGCTTGTCTAGTGCTAGGAAGAAGTCTTTCAGCTTACACCTGCATCTTTATTCTTATTATTTTGTTATTTTCTATCTTGTTTATTTGATGTTTTACATTTGACTTGATGGCTTTTTCTTTTAACAAATGTCAGAAGTAAGATGTTACGCATTTGTGATTTTTATTTTTACTCTGTTTTGCCACGTGTATATTTCTGAAGTGACTGTAAAAAAATAAAATGACTGAATCCACACAAGTCAAATGAAGATACATAGAACAAACATGTAATTTTTCATTCTTTCAATTATTTTGTATTAATTTTAGATGTTCGGTAAAGATTGCTGAATTAATCAAAACTCTTTAAACTCTGTATTAGCACTATTGTATTAGTATTAGTGTGTAGCACTCTATTGGTCCATTGTTAAACTCTGTATTATATAGCACTCTATTGATCCATTGGTGAAGACTGTGTGTTGACCTTTAGATATCTGGGGTTTTTTGGGGTTTTTTTTTGTGTTGTTCGGCTGCTGTATCAACAGCATTTACCTTACATATCCTTTCACATTACACAGTAAAAGCTTGTATAGAGTTTTGTTTACCAAGAAGGGTTTTTGTTTCTTCAGATAAGAAGTTCCTATTTCAACACAGAAACAATTAAGTATATGTTCCTTATAGTTTTGGAAAACTTACAGTTCATTGGGTTTTAAAGAATAGGTGGCTATGTACTTATTGCAGATAGACAATTTGTCAGTTTGGGAACTGCTAAGAAAAATCACATGTTATCAAAGTTCATACTATTCCTCAACATAGCCCTACCAGGGACATTATTTTTATTTTTTGATTGAGATAAGCCGGTAAACACTGTATAATTTTAACGTTTCAGTTTCAAAACAAATTCAACAGTAAATTTAAAGGCAGAGAAAAATGTCAGTGAGTTTTATAACTGTTATTTCCTTGACAGATAATTGGACCTTTTACTTTTCACTATCAATCTGCATAAATCATTTCAATGTTGCTCATTTGTACTTTTTCAGGGGTACATTAAAGAGGGATTCAAATCAGTTTTAAGTTTTAATTGTTTCTAAAATAAATCAAAATAAATTATTTTTTAAAATCCCTTTTACTTACAGACAAATGCAACATTTTGGCTGACAAGAAAATCCTTCTGCATAAAGCTTATAAAGATGAAATTGGAAATGACATGGATGTTTCCCTGTTTGTTCCCCTCTGAAAGAAGTACCTCTGTCAACATTTATCACATTTAAATGTGCAGTTTCTGGTAGTAAAAAGAGAATTTATTCCAAAGTTTGAATGTTTATTGCTCTATACATTTAAGGCTTGTGAGTGATGTACCAATTTGATTACTGGTTTTACCAAAGTTTCGTATTGTTCAGAGTTTACTATATAGAAGAATCAGAATTTTCACTTTTTTGTTCCATTCATAGTAACTGAATAACGTAGCAAGTAATTGTAGGGGAAATTGTGATGTGTTGACTTTAGACCATGACACAAAGATTTACTGACTGAGAAACATACTTTGGATAAATTGTCATTCAAGGATTAGAATGAGGCATGAACAGCAATAACTATGCTGGTTCTTTTAAATACATCTATTTCATGTGATTGTTTTTTAAATTATTTTCACTGTCTTGACACAGCAGAGGGGGCATTAGGAGTTACCCTTGTACGTAAGTCCCGATATTGGTTTCTGTTCTCTAACTTTAGTTTGCCTCAAACAAATGTTATGAAAGACAATGCTTATTACCACAAAACTCAGATCAAGATCGAATTTGGGTGGCGTCACTTTTACCATTCTTGAGTTATGTCCCTTTATAACGTTATATGCAAGCAGGGGCATCATCTGTGTCCCATGGACACATTCTCCATTTATTTTCCTTTTAAATAAGATTGAGAATGGAAACGGGGAATGTGTCAAAGAGACAAGAACCCGACCAAAGAGCAGAAAACAGCCCAAGGCCACCAATAGGTCTTTAACACAGCAAGAAAATTCGGCACCCAGAGGCGGGCTTCAGCTGGCCCCTAAACAAAATTGTGTACTATTTCAGTGAAAATGGACGTCACACTAAACTCTGAAACATATAAATGAACCAAAATTTTTAAAAAACATACAAGACTAACAAAGGTAAGAGGCTCCTGACTTGGGACAGGCACAAAAATGAAAACATATAAATGATCAATCTGTAGAAGGATATTTTTAAAGCTTATCAAAGTATTGTGAATTGTGCAATGCTATGTTAGATCAGAAATCCTCTGGCCTTTAGTGCCCAAAATGTCAAAATGACAATTGTTTTCGTTGATTAAATATTAATCAAACCCTATGACATTGTTAAAGATACAAATATTGCACAGATTGTAATATTTAGTATAAAGTTTCGTGTCGTGCGTGCCATGTAAGGACTGTTCACTGGTAATGTGTTGCTTGACACATAAAATACCATGCAGATAAGGTTAATCTATTTCTCTTAATTTGATTAGAAATGAACAACATTGTATTATATCTATTTTCGCTCCGAACGTTTTACTGTCTTGTAATCAAATCAACTAAAATGAAATATATTTTTATGTTCGGCAAAACATTTGTGTATTTCTGTCCTGCGATTGATGTAGAATGAAATACCGGTATGGTGTTACTCCGATGCATGATTTACCCCTGATTGTTTGAGCATGATATTACCAAATTGGCATCCAATTCGACATTAATGCTTGAAAATTCAATTACTCTGCTGACATCGGCTTGTTGTCTATTGGTGATAAAAAGCAATATTTGATCATTTGGCAACAGTTACATGGCCCGGGGCAATTTGACGGGTCTCAGATGAAATTACAAGCTTCTGGGTTTTCATTTAACAAGATATTAATGATATTTTAAATTAGACTTTGATGGTTTGGAAGTTTGATGTTGTTTTGTGGCGGGAACTATAGTTCTACACTAGGGAGAAATGATAAGACAACATTATGGATGTTATTTTCTGTGCATTCTAGAATTAACAATCTAATTATTGTTGCTTTAATGGGAACATACTGCATTAATCAATTTCATTGGAGAATATTCTAATTTTTTTTTAATTCCCTGAATTTAATTGTGAGTGTGATAAATTTTGATTTGGTAAAGACTGGATGTTGTATTGACTTTACTTTTCTTTTGTCCTGGTTTTTATTACTCTTTGTAGTCAAACATTATTTAAAAAGAGAAATAAGAATATGTTTAATTGGAAGCAATAAAAACTATTTATATTCTCTATTAATTCTGCATTGAAACAAATGTGCACTGCTGTAGATCTTAATTTCCATCTACAATTTGTTTTAACTTGCTGCCAAAATTCCATCATATAAAATACTATTGTAATTTTATTTCCAACCAAAAAAAGGGAAGATTTAACAAACTTAAGATGTGAGGTGTCAAAAGATAAAATCCAGCTGACATCCTGAGAAAAAAAATCTGAATGCCTGTGGCTTATGAAAATTAGAATACTTCTTTAAAAATCTACACAAATCATCATTGTAAAGGTATACAAAGTACCCAAAATTTCTCATTGGTAGATATTCTTCTGGCAGATGATTTACAAGACTGAACAAATATTTTGCTAACGGTTTGAAGATGAGATGAATTTCCAGGACAAAAAATGAAGAGTAATATTCCTCCGGGGCATACTTAGCAATCCTATATTTAACATCTTTCTATACATTGAGATTCATAGAAATTTATAAGATTTTCTAATTTGAAACATCTAGTTAACAGATGTGATGAAGATCTGGTCTCTAGAGTGCTTTGAAGTGGCCCCAAAATCCAAGTCAATTGAGAGAGAAACAAAATAATGAGGGGTTAATTTGTTGTGAGACATTTGTTATTATCCTAGAATAATGATAGCCGATCCCCTCGGACCTCCGTCATTGTATGCTAGTCAAACAGTTGTGACTGAAGCGTAATTGTCCGTATAATGAAGTTGCATGATGGAATTTTTGAGGAGTGTATTTGCCTCAAAATGAGATTATCAAATATTGTGAAATGTGCATTGTGCTTGTCAATCAAACTAGCAGGGTTTATGATACATCCTGCTGTGTTGGTGGTTGGTCATCTCATTATTAAAATGGCCAGATTAATTTCCGATTGAATTAATAGTCATCTCATTTTTAGAAATCTGTCAATTTTCCATGTTTTTGGTCCAATACTACATTTAAAGTCGTAATTCTGCTTTCAATAATTGAAAAACTTTAAAAAATTAAAAATAATTTTAACCTACTAAATTTTATACAATATAAATATAATAAGAATTAAAATAATTGATATTTAAGTATGTTAAATGAAGACTTTTAGAAATTAACAAAGGAAGACAAAGTAAATACTGTAATGTTAAGCTTTTTTTACTTTGTAATCAAATGTGTCCTCCTCCAACACAAAAGTTAGTGTTAAAACTATAGGAAGAATTTTTAAGTATGAGGAAGAAATGTTAAATTGATTTAAAGAGAGAATGGCACTTGATAAAAACAGTTACATTTGAATGGCGTTTGACATCTTAACAAGTTGGTTAAGTGACTTGTCAGCTTTTACAAGAGTTCTCTTTTGTAATGATTACAACAAATATTTACAGAGTACTTCAGTTTGGAGAGCTCTTCAGATGTGAAGTCATTTATGGTCATATTGTGTAAAAATGTGTGAACATGTGGACCATTTATTACATGCTTAATTTGATTTTAATGCTCTCTTTCTCCATGTTGTCTCAACTTAACCATTATTTAATATTTACTGTATAATTTAGAAAATTTAATACGCCAAACAAAACCTATGATCACTGAAAGAATTAAGTTAATTTAGACCATGAAAGACATTATTCAGGAGACCTCTTGATCTTTTGGACCACCGCTGACAAAACTGTTCACTTTTTCTGGGTCTTTGAGTTGATTTTAACTTTTATTTTTTGTCAGTTCTCAGAAAATTTCAATAATATTTGTTTAATATTGTTAATTTTTTTGTTTTGTTTATTGCAGTGTAAAAGCACCATCAAAGGACCCTCCTAAAAGTAACCCAAGTAAACGGCATAGAGAGAGACTTAACTCTGAACTTGATCATCTAGCTAGCTTGTTACCATTTGAACAAAGTGTCATATCAAAATTAGATAAACTGTCTATTCTAAGACTTGCTGTCAGCTTTCTCAGGACTAAAGCTTATTTTCAAGGTAAGATACCACATAATTGATTGTACACATATGAACCCCCCTTCATTGATAAAGTAGGCTAAAGCTACTTGTACAGTTAGTAACTTATCCTGAGTTTATTTTAACGCCCCACCTACGATAGTAGAGGGGCATTATGTTTTTCGGTCTGTGCGTCCATTCGTTTGTTCGTTCGTTCGTTCGTCTGTTCCCCTTCAGGTTAAAGTTTTTGGTCACGATAGTTTTTGATAAAGGTGAAGTCCAATCACCTTGAAACTTAGTACACATGTTCCCTATGATATGATCTGTCTAATTTTAATGCCAAATTAGAGTTTTGACCCCAATTTCAAGGTCTGCTGAACATAGAAAATGATAGTGCGAGTGGGGCATCCATGTACTATGGACACATTCTTGTTACATGTAAGACAAAAGGACTAGATCATAAATAGTTAATGAAGAATGCATTAAGCATTATTGCTCATATTATTCATAGATGTAATTGTTCTATCCTGGTCCAGAATTTTGCTATTTATAATATTTTTGGTGGGAAAATACAGAAATAAAACATATTTACTGTACAGCTGTAGGAAAAAATGATTTATTGCTGCTAAAGGTTTTCTTTTTTCTATCAATTTTTCCAGCAGGTTATGCCCTCAGTTTACCATTTTTATGCTGTACATGCTTTTCAACCATTGAGAGATTGACATTATCTCCTGTCACTGACACATCTGGATTGTATTTTATACATTTTATGTAAGAATTTCTTAAGATTCACTTTAGTGTATGGTTGTATCAGTTAAAAACCAGAACAAATTGACTTCTTCAATATATACCAAACCTTGATCTTTTCACTCTCAATGCTGCTCTTACTTGGTCCCAGATTTTAATAGTCAGGTACAAAGTTTGAAATGAGTTATTTCCCCTTAGCCTGGTCACTGACAAAAGTTTGTACTTTTCTTCGCATTCATATAAAACATTTACTGTCAATAAATCAAGATGTCAGCAGCGTTATTACGAGATGACCACACAAATAAGCTTGGTATTATCATATGGCCATGCTAAATTAATGACAACATTGCCTGACCATTTCACATTCACCAGACAAATTCAATACCACAAAACACTTAATTCATCATATCATTTTAACTGCAAAATTCTGTCAACGAAGATCAAATTCAGGAGTAAATTGATCAGAATTGACACCTTTCATAACAGTTTTCCACAATGTTTCTCCTCCGAGGAGAAGTCTTGGTCTGCAGTCATTTGTTTTCAAAATATATATTACCAAAATATTTTATTGCAAGAAAATATAAGTTACCACAATGATTTGTATACAAATACAAATCCTTGGTTAGCAAAATTAATGGATTACAAAAAAAGTTTTTTGTACTCATATTTAATTGAGGCATTAATATAAAAAAATATCAATGTCAGTGCCATGATAAAATAGCCTTACAATATCAAAGTTAGGATGGTTCATGTAGAATAAAAATAACTTGTGTTCCTTTTTTACATCGCGATGACCTTGAGGTCATTCCGATGTATTGCTATCGCCTAGATTTCCATTATGTAAATTAGTTTTGGGTTTGTAACCGATCTATAAACATGATAAATATGCGCACATAAACGAGTGCAAAATAACATTCCTTGTCATTTGATATAAATACATCTCTTCAATGAATACTGATAAAAATATTTTTGTTTACAACATAAATTAATAATGTGAAAATGTTTTGTAGTTAGATATATATATATATAAGTAAAAAATCATTGATAATATCAATGCACACGTACCGAAAAATTGTGTTAAAGCATGCGGAAGAATATCTCAAAGAACGTTTTGCGACAGGACCGGTAACTCTGTAATTGTTTTTGCGGGAAAATATGAATGCCTACTCGTATCCAATCTTAGAAAAATCGAATTTTTACAGAAAAGTGTCCACCATGCACTTGCATTGCACTATTGTTAGAACAGTAGAATAGAATGATATACAAACGGATGCAAATCATATATATATGAAACTGTTATTTTAATATAATATATAACAACAAATCAGTGTATACTGATTTGTATCACTACAATATAATAGTTATTACGGGTTGAATTTCCTGTCATTTATTCATCATACTCGCACGCACTTGTCTAGAAAAAAATATATCTCTGTACATTAACCTCAGTTTCAGGTAAAGAGATATGTTGTTTTTTTTCTGAGACAAGTGCTTTTGACCATCCTCAAGAACTTGTGGTCATCCGATGTTCAGTACTTCAGTACTTTGATTCTCATAGTTCTCCTAATAGCCCTTCAAAAAGTCAAACTTTTCTGAATCAAACCTGATCACATGCCCCACTATACCAGACAATTCAAGCATTGATGGTGATTGTGTAACTATTTCTAGACATTACAAAAAAAACAACCTTCCCTTTTTTCTCCTAGACCTCCTGGAAGCCCTCTAACTAAAACTTTTCTATTTATCAAACCTGATCACCATCCCAGCCAGAGATATCAAACCTGATCACCATCCCAGCCAGAGAAATCAAACCTGATCACCATCCCAGCCAGAGATATCAAACCTGATCATCCCAGCCAGAGAAATCAAACCTGATCACCATACCAGCCAGAGATATCAAATCTGATCACCATCCCAGCCAGAGAAATCAAACCTGATCACCATCCCAGCCAGAGAAATCAAACCTGATCACCATCCCAGCCAGAGAAATCAAACCTGATCACCATCCCAGCCAGAGATATCAAACCTGATCACCATCCCAGCCAGAGAAATCAAACCTGATCACCATCCCAGCCAGAGAAATCAAACCTGATCACCATCCCAGCCAGAGAAATCAAACCTGATCACCATCCCAGCCAGAGAAATCAAACCTGATCACCATCCCAGCCAGAGAAATCAAACCTGATCACCATACCAGCCAGAGAAATCAGGAATTGATGTTGATTCTGTGTCTGTTTACCTCAATTGTTTAATTACACAAAATTACACTCAAATAATCATGTTTTTTTCTAATAAAATATAATTGTTAATGGATTTTTGATTAAACCATTATTTCAGGTATGTTATATTATATTCCTGTTGACAGATTGTGAAGTCTTGGGGAACACAGAAAACCAGACTCTGTCAGATCAAATTAAAACATATTAAATTGTCTCCCTCAGGCCAATCAACATATCCTCATTTCTCATTAATTAAACGTAAAAAAACTAAGCAATCAAATCTAAGCAATCGTTTGGTTTTAAATATTTGATGATGTTAAAAGAATTTTGACATCTGTTTGAGTTTTTGGTGAAATTATGGTCCAGTAACCAACAATTACCTTTCTTGGCCCAGGTGAATTAAACTGATCAATAAACAATAGTGGCTTACTTGTTATAATTGTCCCACCATCTGTACGTCTACCTGGTTGATTAAGGATCTGAATTATTATACCAAGTGGGGGGGGGGAGGGATGTGGACTTAACGGCAAAAAACTACAGTAATGTAAAACCGTGATCATTGCATTGTTCAAAGTGAAGGTATATATACAGAATAAAAAATATACTCCTCTCTTGCACCAGAAATATTTAACTAAAATACATAGTAAACAAACAAAAACAAATACACAACTTTTTGCTTTCATACAGGAAAACCCATACCTAAAGTTTTTGAGAAATTTCATGCATTTTTTCATTGCCATATTTTAAAATTCAGTTTAGGGCAAAGTTGTTGCACCTTGTAATTAAGTCATAAAATTTAAAAAAAAAAACAATTAATTTATAGTTAATAATTCCTCTAGAGCCTCATATGATTTTTTGACTGTGATGTTAATTAGTATTATTAGAAATTGAACATTGAAGTCTATTCAAGGGAGGTAATTGACTCATGCAAATTACGAAAAATGTAAATTGATTTGATTAATCTCATAAAAATCTGGAATTTTGACTATTTGTTATTAAAATGATACAGATTTGGTTGAAGAGAAGGAATTTAATGATGTTTTGTGATTTTTATCTTCAAAGGGGATAATCAAATATGAAGCTGTTATTGAAATAAAACTTGGTGAAAATATTGATATATCTGGCTTATCAACAAGATCAGATGAGTGTTAAACTAATACCATAAAGAAATTTTGTTCTGATCACAAAGATTAAACATAATATGCAATAATTGGTTTATATTTAGTGGAAAATACTATCTGCAGATCTGCAAAGTAGCTCTCTAGTCTCAAGTGCTGCATGTATTGTTTTCACTCTAGAGAGAAAACAGAATCTGCAGTTTTTTGTTTCTTTATTTTTGAAAGTGCAAATGCTCATGGCTGAAAAATGTTAATGCCATCTGTAGAAGATTCAGTTTTAGTTTGAATCTGTTGTTAAAGGTTTACTTTAGAGGATTATGAAAACAATGCAAGAATATTTTTATTTAACAGAACATACATGCATTACAATAAAGAAACCATATCCTTGTCCCACCTTGTTTTTCCTTTTAATGAAAGCCAGTTGATTGGTCTGTAATTAGAAAGAACAATGTATATTAACACTATTGTTGCCCTCCCTAATGGTCAATAATTAATGATATTACCTCATTCACCAGGTAACAATATAGTGCCATTATCACCTTGTTATATATAGTACAGTCTTAATTGATGTTCAATATTTCTTGATCCACATATCCTGATGCTATTGTACTACACTTTATGGGAACTGTAGTACATTTGAAAGTTTGTGCTACCCGACTGTTCACCAAAGAGCTTTATTATATATATATCTGTGTCCTCTGGCTAATGTGAAATCTCCTGTTGTGGATATATCTGTGTCTGATGGTAATTTAGGGATTTTTACTTGGGAACAGTTTCAGTGATAACATAGCCAAACTTGATGACGGTGCTCATAGTCAATTAAGGTGCCAGTGCCGTGTTTTGTCACTGCAGAATTTCATTGTTTTTAGAAAATTGCTACCCCGTCACACTTACATAATGTTGTGTTAATCACTTCACCATATTAAAATTTCATTAAAAAATGCTCTCAATGGAGGAT